CTATTATTTGTTCAGTGAAGGTGGAGGTTATAGCCTATGTATATGATGAAACAATCTTGCTGTAGAGCTCATTTTAAGAATTTTAAAGAATTTATTCTGTTTTCTTTCAACACGTTGTCACTTAATGTCCAAACCAATGAAACTACAGTGCATACAAGTTCAAATATATCACTAACATGCAGAAGATTTGGCTGGAAAGTAACTAAGTCCATTTTTCCAAGTACAATTTAGAGGTGCATGTAACTTACTTGACTATTTTTAATTTGTGCTCTTCATCTAGACTACATTTCAGAAGGAAATATTATTATTATTTTTTTACACTATCAGCTCAGCACCAAACAGCAGACAGACAAAGGTAGTGATGAACTGGTGGTTTAGCAGCTAAAGAGCCACATATTCCCCCCAGTTGGTGGAAACCAAAAACAGAGCTAAAACCGGAGTGGATGTTTGACTTACACTGGAAGTTGGTCAGAAACACATCTCCAGATTAATGTTAAAGTTGTTCAGTATCTGCTGGATGTGTAAATAGACAATTGTTTGCTAACAAGTTCACCACATCAACTTTATAGGGTGACAATATGTCATTATGTTTACCACAGCACTGCAGCTAGGTGACCAAAAATAATACTCTTTTACAGGTTTAAGTATATTGTGTTAATAATACTGTACTGTTACTTGCATACAATTTTAAATGCAGAACTTTTACTTACAATTGAGTGTTTTTACACCAGGTTATTGCTGCTTTTACTTAAAGGAGTACCTCTGCTACCATACTTAGATTAGATTAGATTAGATTAGATTAGATTAGATTATGGCAGCATCTACTATGTATTTCTAGGGATAATTATAAAGTAAGAGTCCACAAAGATTATATTCTACCTATACATGAATAGTTCTGTATTGTATGTAATGAAAACCCACTGAAAATGTACAGAAACTCTCTAGGCTTTGAGGGTAAAATCTGTTTTTCCCAGTTCACTCATGGACCAAACATTATATCTCATTACATCACACCATTGACTCTTAGCTCACTGATTTCGTCCTTTAGAAGCAAGTTGGACAACACTAGAAGTATTCGCCTTTCTTAAATTGCGTGTGGTCTTTCAACACAGACTCGGTATCAGCTAGAATAACACTGAGAACACCCCCTCACCCAGAAACTTGTATAAATGTGTGGTATCATTACTTCCTTAGGGCCCCTGGAAACAGTGAGATTACAACCAGGGACCGACTTTCCTGCTGAACTCAAGACAACAATCTTTATCTCGTCAAACAGACACACAGAGCAGAGCCACACATGAGACGGGGGAACACATAACCGAGCCTCTTTTTGTTTTGGATTCCAAACTGGGTCCAAATCAGAAAAATTTTATCTGCAAATGTTCATGAATGTGTCCTGCGCAGGGACACAGCAACAGCACAGGCAGCAACAGCGAACGTGACAAAAGCACAGTCCAGGACATATAATATGATCTTATTCAAATATCAGAGTTATTTTTATCTTCTATTCATAGTGATTGTTTTCCTGTACTTGCAGCTATCCTTGGAATGTACACGCTGATGAGCAACAAGCAGTACTATGATGCTCTGGGCACCACGGGCACCATCGCCAACACAGAAGGCATCAACAGTACGTATGACATCATTTCATAGACACTTAAAGCGTTTTTTAGTTGGTGATCAGATTTTTAATCTTGTTTAAATATTTTTTGATTAGTTATTTCCTTATTTCAATCATTATTTTGCTTATTTTAGGCTGTATTTTATTCTTGTACAGCTGTTTTGTGTTAAAACAAAATCTACTAATCTACTACTGATGCATCTGAGAAGTTATTTATATTATTAGTTATTTATAAGTAAGATATTGGTGTCAAACATTTCAAATTATTGTGCCTGAAATGTGCTGAACAGGAACTGATTGGAAGTTGCTGTGTAAACTGTTATTTTTGACAAGTCAAAGATTGAAATAGGATAATTCTTCATTGCTCAACACCAGTGTAGAATTTGAAATTAGTGTTCAACTCAATGACACACCCATTTCAATCCATGTTAAGATATTTCATTGTGAATATAATATACTGTATGTCACTAAGCTGTGATCTTGTGCCTCTTACAGGTGTAGTGAAACCAGATCCATTCAAGATCTTCCCTGACGAGCCGCCCAACCCCACCAACGTGGAGGAAACCCTCGAGAGAATCCACAACAACGACAGCAGCCTGACTGAAGTCAACCTCAACAACATCAAGGTCAGCTGGACGGGAAACACTGTCATGTTAACACGTTTCTGGAAAGCTTCAAATTAACAAAGTGTTGCTTCAGTTCATCAGAATACAATTATCAGCTTCTGCATCAAAATGAACCTGCAGCTGAACATTTCCCCAATTCCCAGCCTACATAGTTTCACTTTTTGCTACTCACAATCTCTCTGAAAGTGGCTCTCACCATCTGCGGTGAAAACACTACACCTGGTGACTGTGAATATTCACAATGAGCTCTATTACCTGCTGTATCGATCAGTTGAGAGTGTAAATCTTCCACATCTGTAAGCCTTAGCAGTGCTCGGTTAAAAACCAAAGCACATAAATGTGACGTCCCTCTGTCTGTGCTGCAGGACATTCCCATCCCAACACTAAAAGAGATCTTTGAGGCGATGAAGGGAAACTCTCACGTGGAGTTTCTGAGCATCGCTGCGACCCGTAGCAACGACCCTGTGGCCTATGTGAGTACCATATGAAACGACAATTATTTTTTAGTGCAACAAGACAGATGACAAATGACAGAGTCACTGATACATAGTCATAGTCATACAGATACTTTCTCTGCCATTTATTTAGTTCCCTTAAGCATGATATTGCTAATACTGAAGTTAAAGTAAAGTCTAATTTCATATTTAATATATGTTGGGTATTGAATCGGTATTGAATTGAATTTGAGCTTTTGTATTGAATTAGCAGTATGTAATGTTTGATTCAATGATAATTCATCCTAATTTCTCTACAAAGGAGGACTGTGCATTGAACAATCCCAGTTAAGAGTATCCATGTGTTTGTGTGTACCAGGCATGTGCTGAGATGCTGCAGGAGAACACCAGCTTGCAGAGTCTTAATATCGAGTCAAACTTCATCACTTCAGACGGCATGATGGCGATCATCAAAGCTATGGCCAATAATGCCACACTGGTGGAGTTCAAGATTGACAACCAGGTCTGAAACACATCACTGAACCCGAGTGACTGATGGGCGACACATAAGCAATAAATACGAGGAGTCGGATTGTGTGATTTGAGTTGTAACACTTGTAATCCTGTACCATACAGAGGCAGAAGTTGGGAGACTCAGTTGAGATGGAGATCGCCTCCATGTTGGAGAACAACTCCAGCATCCTCAAATTCGGCTACCACTTCACCCAGCAGGGCCCGCGTGCCAGAGCTGCCATGGCCATCACACGAAACAACGACATGAGTGAGAAACGCTCTGACTGCACGCTCAGAAAATCTTTTTAAATGTCCAAGTGGAAAGATTGGAGTAAATATTTAAGTCGCATTAGGCATGATTAGTGTGTAATATCCAGCTGAAATCAAAATGTGTGGACGAGTGTCTGCCACTTTGAGCCACCGGTGTGCGAAGATTCATTTGGGCTTAATTTTGAGGGCTAATAAATGTATCTTTATCCATCGTCTTTGTGACTGATTACTCTAATGGTGTGCCATATTTTTAATAATCACATCTTTCTTTCTTCCCTCTGCAGTTCGCCAGCAGAGATTAAGATGAAAGCAACAAGGAGCAAACAGAAGAACAACCACTTCAGCCCCTTGGAGGTTTCAAACAGACGGCCACAGACAGCCTAGTGCCTGCTTTCTCGATGCGATGCGCCAGAGCTGAATCCTCCCAAATGAAGCTTGCACTGTGCAACCCACCCAATCATTTCATTTCATTTACCGCAGCCAGCCTTTTGTAGACTGCTGAATTCATCATAAAGGCATGTATAGGTCACAAGCAAAATGTGAAGTGTCTTTTTTTTGTGCTTTTAGTTTGTGCATCGCCAACATCATCCCACACAAAATTTCATTCATGAAAACATTTTCAATGTGGTGCTATATGTGGGAAGAAAACAAACTGTAAATACTTTAAATAAAAATATATATTCAACTATTTTTTGTAAATGTTTGGCAAGTTCAATTGTATTGTTTCTACACTGTATCTGGACATATGGAGTATTTTATATTGGATATGAATATTATTCTCAACAAATATTGGTTTAAACGCACATCATTTGGTACATTTAAGTATCTACAGATGAAACTGGACAATATTTGTTTTGTAGAAGCTCAAATTAACCTTTAATTGTGTCATATTAATCTGTATTTGATCCAGGGACAGTGCACATACAGAATTTCAACCCAAAATGCGATGTTCTAATGAACGTCAGCATTACTGCAGCAAGACAGTCAACATTAAGTGAAAATCTACCCGCAAGACTGACATATACTGCAGAATTTTACAGATGGATCCTTCATCTAAAGAATCACTGTGCTTTAATCCTTGAAAGTCTCCCCTGATCCTCTGACTTCCCTCAGGCACCTGAGCTATTTTTACCCCCCGAACCCTGGTGGGAAACATAACCTAGTCCACTGGGCTTGAGTTACCTTGTTCCAAATATAAGAACCGACTTTAAGAGGGTTGCACCCGTGTGCACCCGCAGAGATTTATGAACAGAAACAGCTGCTAACCTCTGAGGATTTTGACAACATTGCTGGGGTTCATACACTCACCC